CTGGGGAACCGTAGACTTCCAGCTCTGTCACAGAGGGGAGAAGGAGGGGCTGTCACGCCGCTCGCTTCTTCTTCCTCGACTGCTGGCCGAAATTCTGGGTTGGCTGCGCCTGGGCTGCAGCCGGAACCGGAGATTTTCTAGGCCAGCTCGCCCTCGTCCCCTGCCTGGGCTGGGGACTCGGGGCGGACTGCGACCTCTGCGTTTTTGGTATTTTGAACCGAGCAGGGTTCGGAGCAGCTTGGACGAAGGGCTGCCGCTGCGAAGGCAGTGGCTGGGCCCTTCGAGGGAGGCAGAGGTGGAGGGCCTCGTCCTCCTTCTTTTTCGACTCGCATCTCCTCTGCATGGAGGCAAGAGCGGAGCCGAAAATCCCCTCGGGAACGATGGGCATGTCAAGCACATCCTCCTTTTCCCGGTCTGGGAGGTTGGTGAGGTTGAGCCATCTAGCCCTTTCCTGCACCACCATGATCCCCATTGTTTTGCCCGTGTTCTGGACGGCGCAGCGTTGGACACGGAGACAAATGTCTGTGACCGCGGCCAACTCATCTAGAACGGCCGGTCCAGGATTACTCAACATATCCTCACAGAGCTCCGCTTGGTATGCGGTTAGCAGTGAGGAAACGTTCAGAGCCCTGGCGGACAACGCTGCGGCTCTGTAGGACCGTTCAGTCATGGTCGACTGGAAACGGTCCACCTTCGCTGGCAGCGTGGGGTTCCTGCTTGGTGACGGGCCCATCCTCGGTAGGAGGTGGGCTGCCACCAGCAGTTCCATCGGCGGTATGCGGAGCAGGCCGAGCCTCTGCGGGCGAGACCATGGTGAGGTCTCGCCGGGAGCTCCCGCCTGGTGAGGCGTGGGGCTCCGTTCCCGCGTCTCTTGCCGCCACTGAGTCCCGGCCTGACGCGGCGTGGGATCCCGGTTCCGCAGCTGCCGCTGTTAGTGAGCCCCAGACCGACACAGTGAGGGGCTCAGTCTCTGCGGCGGACGCCCCCGTGTCTTGATTGCCAAACGGCGAATCAGTGGACATGAGGGAGTCCTGTTCCAACAAGCTAGCTTGGTGTGCTAGCCGTCGGTGGAGGCTCTTTCGGGTGAAACGGGCACAATGCCCGCACGAGCCGGGGTTGTCGATAGCCTCCTGGGCGTGTTCCAGCCTGAGGCAGGACGAGCAGACCTGGTGTGAGTCTGTGCCTGCTATCTTCAACCCGCAGCCGCATGACCGAGCCTCCGAGTCCCTGACTCCTCTGGTGTGAGGGGGAGAGTCGTCCATCTTGTTCGCCTCGTGGCGTGAAGAGGACCCGCTCGTAACAGGTACGTCGTTGAGAGAAAAAGTGTTACCAACCCGTCCTTAATCCGGAGAAAAAGGGACGGTGTGGGTCCTTTGTTCTCAAAGAATATTGACTGGTGTGTCAATATACTTCTAATCCTTTTCTCCTCCGTGAGAGAGAAAAAGAAAAGCGTCCTCGTTACTGTGGTGTTGGTAGTAAGGGGAAGCTAGCTAGCAACAGGTGCGTAGCTAGCTTGAGAAAAATCTAAACCTTACCTTACTTTCCGGGGAAAGAAACGGCGAGGTCGATTTTAATACTAACTGGCGTTAGTATTACCGTCTTCTTGCGAAGCAGAAGGAGTAGCCGGCGAGCGCCCGTCGACCGAAATGGTTATATTTGGGTTCAGTCTGTGGACCGTTAAGCTTGTCCGGCTACTATAGAGATGTGCTCTGAAGCGAGAAGAGGTGTTTGAATGACGCATGCGTCGTGGCGCAAGCTACTTATAGGGGGTGAATTCCCTGACGCTGACGTCAAGATCACCAGCCAATCAGGATTGGCGTAATGAGATTGATGCTTCTGTTTGCTCCGCGATGAGGCGCATCCCATAGTGAGACATCGAACGGAGTGTTATGAATGAGAACTGAACTAAAACAGTAAAGTTGCAGGATGTGTGGTGAAGCGGGTTGTGTGTTGGTGTTCGGATGTGTTCGGTGTTGTTCAGGTTCAAACCCCACTGCAGTCAGCATGTCGTTGTGTCCCTGGGCAAGACACTTCACCCCAAATTGCTCCTGTGAGGATTGCCCACAGTATTGAGTATGTAAGTTGTTTTGGATAAAAGCGTCTAACAAGTAACATGTAATGTAATGTAATGTAAAATCGAAACAATCATCTGGAAGGTTTGTAAAATGCTTGTTCGAGATGAGCGTGAGAGTAATAATTCCCAAGAAACACCTTGTTACACGTTATTTACAACTATTTATCCATTCAAATTAGATGAGATTAAACAAATTATTTGGAAATATTGCTTTAATGTTAGCAGAAAAAGGATGGCTCACTGTTAAGCTGTGTGTGTTAGTTGATGAGTCACATCTCTGCTCAAACAACACATCTAATTATATCTATTTGCTTTTCTCTTGCTCCATCTATTTACTACCCTGTATGCAGATTTGTGTTTAAGAAGTATTCATCCTGACAGATGATGCAGTTAAACATTATGACTTGCCATATACTGTATAGCAACTACTGAATTAATGTGTTGTGCTTTTCAGTCTGCATTGTCATTTGGGAAGTTTATTTTTGTGGTTTGTTATTCAAAACACATTCAGCAGCTCCACAATTACAGAGCCTCTCCCAGCCTGCACTGATGCACTCTTAATTTCCTATTGTGCCTCCGAGCCTAAGAGAAAAACCATAGGTCTGCCTGATGCATCTTCCCACTACTTCAGTTAATGATAGTTTTACTTTGGAATAATGAATGTAAAAATGACTAAATTAAAGCTCTTAGAGTGTAGCCTTTGTTCTGCCTTGCAATGCTCAAATCGAGACTAATTCAATGTACCACTCAGCCGTTCTGTGTGCCGCCATGCTCCCTCCGTGTTACGGAGAATGCTTTGGGTCATGTGACTGTAGATGAGCCGTTATACAGAATTAGGCCAGAGCTGGGCCCGAGGGGAAACGCCAGTGACCACTCCAAATGGTGTCTTCAGCGTGCACCATCTGTGAGTGTATGTGCACAAAAGTGCTTGTAAGTGTATTATTAGCATGTATGTGTGGGCACTCTCTTGCACAAAGGTCTCTAAGGTTATTTTAGGTTGTGGTTTCAGATCCATTTTCGCGAGTGAGGTTACATGAGCTTCATTGGGTAATGCGTGGATGGACATGAGGAATAATTGTGTCTGTTTAGGTTGTACGTGTGATTCATGACAAGATTGTTTTAGCTATCATGATTGTTGCCTAAAAAAGACACACATGGAGATGCCGGTGGGGTTTTGTTAATTGATTATTTAGGCCAGATCAATGTTAACTCCTCCAAGCGGTCAACAACGAAATAACCTCCATAATCTGATAGCATTATGAGAAAATGCCTTTTAACCAAACAAAGTCACTTTAGTTTTAAACAATTGCTGCATAAATCAGACTCTTTCTAATCATCTTGGCCATGAGCCATCATCGTAAAGGTCACATCAGTCCTTAGGATATGTTCCAGACAGACCACACACTCATGACTAGAATTAGGGGGCCTACCCTGTTAGATTAGAAGTTGGATCATCCTCTTGGAGCAATACGTCTTCTCTGGCATGTTTGTACTCAGTCATCCATTATAATGCATCATCGTGAGATCAAATGTTTGATGTTAACTGGAAGATGATTAAGCTTCACTCTTCTCTGGAGGTTTGCAGATTTTTCAGTAAGCTCTGCTCTCGATCTCATCCTGTGCCCCTGTGGGCTCCATGCATACAAACATATACTTTAATGTTTGAATGTGAACATATGAGACTTGTAACTGTATACTCTCGTAAAGGCCATGTGTGTGTTCCCTTGCCAGTCTATACATTCCCAAAGGTCGCCTATAGCCAGCCGTATCACGATGCATATTCATATTTTCCGCTGTGGGATTTCCTCTTTACGCAGGAGCAACATGCTATAGCCACGAACAAGTGAAAAATAGCCTGGGCACACAGCCTATTATTGCTTTTGTAGAGAGCACCCACTAGCTAATGGTTAATCACCACAAGAAGCATGAACATAAACATGAAGATGGATTACGTGACACGCCAGAAAGATTACGACTCATATATCATCTTCTGCCTTTTTGAGCAACACCAAGCATGCTATTGCACACCATTAAATAGAGAGAGATATGCAGCATGTTTTATTTGTGGAAGTCTCTGTCATCAAAGAGAATATCTGCTGGATTTATTAGTTTTTTTTTTACAGATGCTGATTTATTTATGCTTCTGGATTGTACTGTCACATCAAAGCAACTACCTATTTGAGTTTTATCTATATGGTTGAATCTACATATACATTTGTCTTTGTATGTGACCCACTAGGAGGAATTGCAGGATGTAATAACACTATGGAAAGTCATTGGGGTTTTATATCACATATTTGTATCTATTCTTTTTACATTAACAGCCAGAGGTTTTACAGTTAATGTGAAAATATCTACACTACGGGAAAAGGATTGGGTAGAGCCAGTTTAAATGGCAAGCATTGGTCAGCACCATTTGACCTTGACAGCTTCAGATAGGCTTTTGTTACCAGAGAGCGCTTTCTTATCAGTCCTGTGAGCTGAACTGAGAAAAGGCGAGCAAAGAGAGATCAGGACATACAGTATATGCACCTCTTAAAAACATAAATCTATGATTATCCTGAACTGAGGAGCAAGGACATCGCCTCTTGGTGGGATTGTATTGTGATAATTGTGATAATATCTTATTGTTGTAACAAATTATGTTGGCAAATTGATCATTCCAAAGTAACTGATTAAAAACGAACAAAATGTGGATATAGTAGAATATTCATTTTGCATATAATATATATAGTACACTATAATTGTAATGATGTGATATTGAATCCACCATGTTACCTAGTCATACTGCTATGCAAAGCTCATTGTAAATAACGAATAAAGTAACAAAATATATATTTTTTTTTACAGTGTCAGTTCATGAATGCATAACCTTGTAATAATGTGTGTTTTTCCTCCTCTCATCCTCTTTCTCTTTGTTTTCTAGTCCGATAGAATCCTGCCAGAATTTCTGGAAAGATTTCACGTTACAGATCGATATGGCCTTCAATGTCTTCTTCCTACTTTACTTTGGACTGCGCGTAAGTTGTGCATGCACAGTACACATTAACAGGCATACTGTTTAACAAGCTGGCACAAACAATAAGCACAGCCATGCAGGCAGGCATTGTTTTACATGCAGCAGAATAAACAGAATCTTACAAAAATATATGTAATTCTTCTTATTTTCCACTCCAATCACAGTATATTTAATGTTTTCATATTTATCTTTTCTATATATATTTTTGTAAAAGATAATACATATAAACATCTTTACGGAGACAACCAACAATGCTTTCAAACAAGCAGACCCAACTTTCTAAATACGCACACAGGATGCCTTTATTTTAAACTCTGTTGTCATAATGTTGCTATGGCATGTCTGTCATGCCAGAGCAGCATTCCAGTTGTGCAACGCAAGCCTGTCATCCTGAATGAATGAATGAATAAACTCATAAGCAGCTTACCCCACCAACCATTCGCATGACTCAGCAAGTGGGGTGAAGCTTTTGTCATTCTATACAATATGTCAGCATGCAGTTTTATGGTGGGCTGTGGAGGAGAGTTACTATTTTGTATAACATTATAATTCATTCGTCATTTTCTTTGCCATCTCTCTTTCTTTTCACAGTTTATAGCGGCCAATGATAAACTATGGTTCTGGCTGGAGGTCAACTCAGTGGTAGACTTCTTTACTGTTCCTCCCGTGTTTGTTTCTGTCTACTTGAACAGAAGCTGGCTCGGTAAGTCTGTATATATTTTCCGCTGTACCTATGTGTTATTAATCCACTTTTTCTTGTATGTGATGTATACCCTTGCGTTTCTTGATTTCTTTCACCATTTTCAAATGTCTTTCTCAACGCCTCCGTCCAAACACTCCCCATTTATTATGTTGCCCTCTATCTTCACATGTCACCCCTCCTTTTATCACTCTGTGTCCCTCCCTCTGCCTCCTAGTCCTCCTTCTGTCTCCTCATTACTGGGAGTGTGTCTCTGAGGCCCTCTCGCTCAGGGCTGCAGTCAACTTTCCCTGATCATTGAAAGTGACAGGGCTGGGTTCCTCTGATGTTTCAGGAAACACAGACACAGCAGAGTGGATTGGCCAATGGGAGTGAGAGTGACTCACAAACACACTGTGGTTTTGTGTGTGTGTATGTGCGCGCATTCGACTCATTCGTAATTGCAGTGTTGAGGCGGTGCACCTGAAATTCCTCACTGCAGTCCGTAACTACCATCTAATGGGTTAATTCACAATCACCCAAAAAGATGCCAACACAAAAGTTTGTGTTATTCCCGTACACACACACATGCACACACTCTTGCATGAGCAGGCTGGAAAACACCCTAACCTGCATTACATAACGACCTACTTTTCTCAGTGCGTTCAGAGTGTTGTGTCCTAAATTACACTGCAGTGAAAAAAGTTTCTTTTTAGCTGTATTCTTCTTCAGGTTCACTGGCACTCTTCTTTTGAAACCATGTCATTTTTATACATGGTTACTTTATTTATAACTTAGGTGAATGCTAATCCCATGTTTATCTGAGCGTAACACTGTTAGTTCAGAATGAGAGGCAACTGTATTACATTACAGTGAAATTATTTAAGGTTCTCAGTGCAAAGAAATATTTGCTAAAAGACAGACCAATACAGATAAAAACTGATATACAAATTAACCTCAGAAAGACATATTTGAGGCATTTCTGTTTATTTGTATTTTGCCTAAACATTTCTTTCCTTCTGTAACACATCACAGGGTCCTGGTGTTGTAAATACTTGATACACCCTTAAATAACACAGAGGCATCGCTCATGTTATAAGTAACACCTGAGATTTTCTTTCTATGACATTTCAAAAATATCTACTGTAAAAAAGGCCTACACTGATAACTAGCAATAATTCAAATGTCTTGGATAGAAGAACTGTATAGCCTTGAAAAGAAGTCTAACTTTTTCAAGAACCATGAGCAATTATTAGATCATACAGGTTTAAACCAGTGTCTACATATTTCCTGGTGTAACAACCATGCTTACCATGGTTATGTGCACACATGTTTTAATTGAACAGAATAATTATTACTAATCCTATTAACTTTGGTTATTTTAGTTTTACTATATAGTGAGCTTTAAATTAACAATCTGATACCAATAAGAGCCGTGAGGGAGTAAATAAGGTAACTATTTTATTAATCAATGTTTTAGATTATGTCAAGCAAATAGTCAAATGTCCACTAATTTAAACTACTCAGATGTAAGATCAGTGTTTTATTTAATCATTTTTGGTTAATTAGGTTTTGGGTTACAGTATTTTGAATGCATTATTTGAGCAAATGACAAATCAATCAATTCTGGGAATTTTCAGCAGATTATTTATATTGGGAGCAGTCAACATCCAAGTTTGGTTATAAACCATTATTATTAAATCTGACAAACTATTAAAATAACACCCAAGTCAACTTTAATTATTTATAGAATCCATGATATAGACTATGCTGTCATGAATATGCAGTCTACCTTTCATCCTAATGTGTATGCTGTTATTTTTGTCTTTTCAATCTAATCTTTGAGACGATGAAGGTTTCTTAAGAGGCTCCCTTTGGTCATGCATTTCACCGAGAACAAGCTGTGTACTGAATAAAATATGACCAAGTCAAGTAATCTAGTTTCTGGTATTCATGATGTAAGGTGTCCTCGGCTCATCCCCAGAAAGCCGTTGGTGTTGATAAAGGATGCTGAAAGACTTTGAAATCATGGTCTGGCTGCTGCCCCACATTCTGCATTGAATAATTACCTATGATTATTAAATATCCTGCACCCTGGGGTTCATATAGGCTAAGAGGCCTTTTATATACAGTGCATCTGCAGTGTGAGTTGTAATGTATATATTGTTTTTGAGAGATGCCCTAGATTCCAGAGCTATTAAAACACTATTATTTCAAAAAGGGAATGATCTGGACGAATATTTATTTAGCTATGACAATATATCATGTGGCATGTCCTTCAAATCTTAGAGCATGTTTATGTTTGCAGTGTTGGGCATAATAACCACAGTGTGTCATGGTAACAGAACTCCCTGTGGCATGGCTTGGGTGTATGTTTCCTGGTGGTGTGCTTGTCCATGTTAAATGCTTCAGACAGAGTTGCAAAGCCTAAGTTATAAAAATGAAGAGTGGGTAGTTCTGCAGTGATATGGGGTGCACCTAACACGCTGGTGATAGCTCCCAGAATACTAATAGGGTGCTGAAAGTGTCTGGTAATATTCAGGCTCTAAGGAGTCAGGACATGAATCATGATTAGCTGCTTCTATCCTGTATTAATATGGAAATTAGGACACTGTTGTGACAGGAAAATAAACACAACCGATGCCTGATCTGCTTTCATACGGTAACCTTTGATATTCATGGTTAAATAAATGTAATTGCTACTTCCCTGAAGACTATTGCCCTCTACATACGTCTTAATGCTTGACAGGGTCATAATGGTTTTCCTTCAAATCAATACAATAATCCATAGTTTGTGCTACTATCATTAAGCTAAGTGTATATTGTGTCCCTTAACAGGCTTTGTTAAACTAGCCCAGGGTGGTTGTTAGGAACTTGTGTTGTGCTCCTTCTTCCTAAATAATTAGTTGATCTTTTCTTTCCATTCACTGCTGGGGAATACACACCTAAGCCAGAGTAATGCATCATAATTACAGTACCTTTCGCTACACTCTTTCAGCTACAGTTCTGCACAAGAACACTGCTAGAGATCCAGTGGAGGTGCATAATGAAAAGAGAGCGCTAATAGGGGTTCTGCCCTGTTCTGTGTGATAGTGTTCCTGCCCACTCACTCTGCACAGGAAGAAGTATCTGCTCTATGCATTTCAAGTTATGTTCTCTCTGCCTCTGCAAATTGGACATTGATTAAGAGGAGGAGAGCGATCCGCGGATAATGTAAGAGGGCATGGAGAGTTCTTCCTTGCAACGTTAATTCATTTCCTTTAAATACTTAAACTGAGCATTGCTCTCAAGACTCAAAAACAGTTTCTACCCCTGGGCCGTCAGGCTGCTCAACCACCACACATAATGCAATAACTGTAACCATTCTCACATATACACACACTTTTAATGCACTTTATATACTATTTTTATATCAATATTTTAACTATTTATTCCCCCGTATGTTGTCAGTCCTATTGCCGTGTTTTTTAGTGTTATGTATTTGTTTGTATTTTTTGCACACCGGGACAGAGTAGCACTCTGAATCTCGTTATACTCTGTGTATAATGACAATAAAAGGCTTTAACTTAACTTTTTTAAGAGAGTCCTGCTAGTTTAGGATTAGCATATGGCGATTTATGCAAGTAGCTCAATTGGCTACTGAGCCCCAACACTTTCATCTCGCTAGTTAAATTCAGGCTTTACTCCCAAGTTATTAAAACAAGGGAACAGTCATGTCTGTTTGGATTATTCCCCCAATAGAACGATTTGTGGCAATAAATGGCATCAGTAGCTCTTTAAATGATGCATTTACAAACCGAATTAACACGTTCTCGAATGTGTATTATTTGGATGCACAGAACTATAGAAGCTTCAGGCATGGCTTTAAATGTAACCTGCTACTGCCTCCTGGTGGTGCTTTAGTATACTGTTGGTTGACGCTTGTGTTTTTCTGCTGAAAGAGGCTTACAGCACCTGACATGGGCATGAGTGCATCTGCCTCATATGGCCTTTTTAGTCACTGGCAGGAAGCCTCCATGTACATTCAGAGGAGGGAAGCTAATGTATGTTTTCTGTAGCAAGGCTGCTTACACAATAGTACAATTGCACTGCAATACATTGAGTTTAGGCTACAACAAATTGTTGTTGGTTTTTAATGTATTACACACATGCTGTCTTTCCAGCATGACTGTCCAGACAGAACCAGTGCTAAACTAGCTCCCAGTGTGTGCGCCATGTGTAGCGTTATATGATCTAATCCTGGCAGGGTTGACTGTCAGTATTATCCAGATCAACCGTCCGAGAGTGCTGATTGATAAACGGTCCCAGTAGGCTGCTCTGTCAGGACATTTGACAGACAGGCCGTTCTCTCAAAGCCTCAATGAACTAAGAGTGGGCACAGAGCAGAACAACCTTTTTGAATGAGCCTCTGGCCAGCTGACACTTGTGTGTGTGCAAGGGACTTTTGCAAGTGTTGCAAAGGGATTTTCTCATACATGAACACGTGTTAAAGGGAGCAGAATTGAGTTTTTAACACACACACAGTTTACTGTCATTATTGTTGTCATTTTACTGATGTTGTGGAAGAAGCAGGTTTTACCTTAAGGGCAGGGAATGCTTTATACAAACAAAAGAGCATATTGTTTTGTCGGAAGATTAAAGGGTTTAGATGTGTTCCAAATGGCCAAACTCGAAGAGTGGAGGGAAAAAAAATACTGTAGTAAAGAAAGGGCAAGCTTTACAAATGTGGATTATGCTTTTGGACAGTCTCTCCTCAAAGGCATTCACATTAAAAGTAACACAATTAGTTGTATAGAGATGTTGTGTGTCGTTGTATGACCATGAAGTAGGTGTGTTGTTGTTGAATTGTCTGAAATGACCCAGCCTTGAACTGTCCATTACATTTTAGTATCAACAAATTGTTGTAGAGTTGTTTGCCCTTGTACCTTTGGGGACAGGCTAGTCAGATTTTAAGCCAGGATTATTTGTTTTGTTCTGCATCACTTTAGTATGACCTTTTATATCTGATAATCCCTGGAAGGGTTTAAATTTAGAAAATAGGTTTGACACAGCTGTCTGTTGATGGAGACAAAGCTTTACAATGGTAAGGTAAATACCAAAAATGGGCATTAGAAGGTTACATCTGTTTGGGCTGTGGGGATTAAAGACACTTTAACAAAAAAAGGAAAAAAATAACCTATTAGAACTGAAATGTTGCTCCCGGAGGCACAGTCCCTGGCAAGGCTGATGTGATTGAACAAGCAATTCAATTCTAGCTGTCGGTTTTCGATTGTTTGTTTGCAGCAGTGACCATCGATTTCACATTATTTTTAAGTTCTCTTTTTAACTGTCGTCTAATATTGGGGATGCTGAATCGGGAAATATTCTTTTTTTTTAGGAATAAGCTAAATCTGGGAAAGGATCTTTGGATTTTGTTTTCTGAAGGTGCTTTGGAACGCAAAGAATATATTTGGGGATTTTTAACACCCGTTTTGGCAAGACGAAAAAGGACTTCCTTTGACGGTATAACGTGTAAACATGATTTCTTCAAAGCTGCTCTTCCGTCGTACCGTCAGTGATTCTGATTTGAGGGCTATAAAAGAGACTCGAAGGCGAAAGAAGTCCGGTGGCGAGCTTTTTCAGAAGGGGTACAGGGTGAGGCAGGGTCATCGTCAACAGGAGGAAAGGCAGACAGGATTCTATCATTCAGTGCGGACTTATATGCGCATCATCTCATACTGGGGTAAGGGTTTAAGTGTCAGTGTACAGACATGTATTATCTGGAGATGTCCATAATATGTATCTATAAGTTATTTACCCAGATGATGTAGTTGTTTCTTGTTTGGAGCTGGATGGTCTTTGAAAGATATTTGGCATATGGTGTATGGCCACTGTTTTATATGTATATGTGCAGGTTGTATACTGATTGTAGAGGAATATACAGTAGATCACTTTTTTTCACATAAACTAGATACAGATGCGACACACACACGTTACAGTACATGGCATCATTCGTGTTATGTAAAAGGACAATGAGGCAGGTGTCGCATTGTTCTATAATCCCTAAGCGAGCTGCTTTTGAATGCGACGGAGGCTCATATAAACTAGGCCACAAGATGTTCCTCCTAACTTGTTTATGTGCATTAATAATTCCAACACATCATCTAGAATAAAGTTTCTACTTTCTTGTGTCATCTCCTTGTGTCTCACTGAATACATTTTGCAAGTGGTGTAGAAAAACATTTAAGCCATACTATCTGTTTATTTCTTCATAGCCACATTTTTCTGTTATTGAACTATTTTACAAAACACCCAACTCATGGATACATGAATATTAATCTAATGTGAGAATATCATTAGTTGTATTGCATCCATTAAATGTGCTAATCTTCCTCTCTTTGTGTCTATATCGTTCTCTCTTTCTTACAGGCTTAAGATTTCTAAGAGCACTACGATTGATACAGTTTTCGGAAATACTTCAGTTTTTGAACATCTTGAAAACAAGGTAATAATAAACCTTTCCTTATTCATTCACAAGAAACATATTCACCTAGTATCCTTACTGTGAAGCAGAAGCTACATTATGTTTTTAACAGTGAGTCCCGGAAACGTTAAATACTGTTTATAATGTGGCATTTTCAGAATACAGTATGTCTGAGTCAGAACTTAAATGTGTATTAAACTACATGCCTCATGCATATTTCATGCAGTATCATAATTATTTGTTAAGGTTAATAATAAATACATGTATTGTGATACTTTGTCACACTGTATGAAGTATACCGTATTAAGCATTTTGTCCCATTCTATAATTAATTGAGCTTATGTCAGCATTAATCCTTCATCAATTTGATCAAATATCTCAACTGTCCTGGCTGTAGGTTATTTTTAGTCACAACAGCTTACTATAATTAGCTCATGAATCTCTGTTTTTCTGTCCTTATGATCTGACGTTTTTGAGAGTTTTGTGTTTCTTCCTCTTCTACCCAGCAATTCCATCAAGCTGGTAAACCTGTGTTCCATCTTCATCAGCACATGGCTCACAGCGGCAGGATTCATACATTTGGTAAGGGGATAGATGTGAGGTTTAGTTATTAGGGAGCCAGTAAGGGAGGTAACTAAACATTTGCTAAACAACTATATGACATAGAGACCTTTTCAAAATATTATAGTATATCGTGTTTAAGAATTGGCCAATTTCAAAATGAATTTAAATAAATTATATTGTGATTTACTTTTTTCACATCTTGCTATTAGGGATATTCACATTTTGTCCCTCAATATCCCTTCCAGGAACATAGTTAACGTTTTCTGCCAATAGCTAGGAATGATCCAATGCCAGTGCTCTGTTTTCACAAATAAATTAAAAATATGTTCATCTCACCAGAATCATTGGCTTTGCTCATTTTTATGTAAAGTAACACATGGCTAGAAATGGCTTTGGCACTGAGACTTTATAGACTGTTTGCAATGACTAAATAACTCATAGTAGAATCACTACATTTCATAATGACTTTGATGAGGGGAGTGTATTTATGTGGGTTAGCCCGTTGTGCTTGATAGGTGCTGATGCTGATCGATGCATCCCAAGAATTAAGTAAAAAATAAAGGAAGGTTGATTATGGCCATCGGTCTGAAGGTAAACAACTACCAATTCATGCATAAATAATTCAAGAGTGGAAGGTACCACAATACTTTTATAACACAGATATAGTAAGATATGACTCAGTAAAGCATCACACTGTTTGACCACTAGATGGTAGCCTTTGCCCAATATATAACAAATATACTGTGTGACTCTTGGAGCTGGATTTAATCAGACTTGATTAAAGAGTTTTGCTGTGCAAAACACTGTTTACAAATGAGTGGTTAGTAGAGTCATGTCTAATTATCATTCCCTCCCTTTCCTGTCTACATTTTAGGTTGAAAACTCAGGGGATCCCTGGGAAAACTTCCAGAATTCTCAAGTACTTTCCTATTGGGAATGTGTCTATTTGCTGATGGTGACGATGTCTACAGTGGGCTACGGGGACGTCTATGCAAAAACCACCTTGGGGCGCCTGTTTATGGTCTTCTTCATCCTGGGTGGTTTGGTAAAATCACGCTTTTCTTTCTCCTTTACCCCCTTTTGCTCCTTCAAAATCCTGCCTGTCCCCATCACTAGACTGTTAAAAAACTGTTGATGAATGATGAAAATTATATATGAATGAAACATTTCTATGGAATACTTGTTATTACTTATGATATGATGTATGTTATGATATTTTAGCAGTGCTGTTAGAATGTTAGAACTATGTTGCCTGAACCATTAAATGTAATTTGTTTTGTCACAGTAAAGTTGTATCCTTCGTATAGCCTACTGTATCTCGTCTACTGTAGTTACAGTACTATGTGCTCCTTCGTCCCTCCCCTTATGTGTCACTCCTGTATTTGTTTGATAAGAGTGTATGTTTTTGTCTGATAATGTTGTTACTGTTCTCTTAAAAGCAGTTGCGGTATCAGGACACCCCTCCTCCTGTGTCTCTTCCCAAAATTCCAACAAACACAGGGGCAGGGAGATGAGGCTTAGGCCAACCTGACTGTTACCATAGCAACAGCAGCTTTAAAATCCCCCCCTCGCTTACCTTCCTCTTATCTAGCATCCTATTGGATTACAACTAGTGCAGTAACTTAAAAACAATAAGCATTCATGGGTGTACACACCTGTAAGCACTCACACACGCATACTGTAGATCCCGCCTCCTCTTCCTTCTCTTAGAAAATGGAGGATCTAACTAAATCACAGTTACTGTGCTATGCATTTAGACAGCTCTCGCGATGCACTGATGACCTGCAGCTGTGTGGATGTGTGCCGTGCTGTGGCCATGGTGATAGGTTGTGTGTTTTCCTCAGTGCTGAGAGCTCTGGAAGTCTTTAGGCTAGTACCTCAACCTGCTCCCTATCAGCAGCGGTGGCTAAATAATGACTTCAGGCTGGAGATCTTTTAAAGCCAGGGATCATATTAAACTCACGTCATTTTACATATTCCGGCTGATGTAGAGATTCAGTTTCCTAGCATGAGTTAAGTATGTATTTACAGGGAAAGGGCAACTATTTGATTCTTATTGTAGATTTTAGCATAGTGCTAGTGAGGACTCCCATTGTTAACAGTAAACTTAAACACCACCCTGTGCTAGGATAACTGGCTGTGGAACTTTGCAAAATGCATCCAGCTCATTTTCCAGCCCAACAAATGAGTCTTAATGTGTTTTGCAGCTGTGGACCATCAGGTGGGCCTATTCAAATCAACCTGCCAAATAATCTGTGTTTGTTGGACAAAACATGGCACATAGGTTTAAATTCTCCCTTTAAAACTCTGCTATTCAGAAAAGTATTGGGTATCACAGACTGACTATTGAAATGCTGTGACAAAATTCAAACTAATCAAGCCTGTTACTAAACATTTACCTTTAAAATGGGGGCTATTTTTTTTAAAGTGACAACAGGATTTGGTAAATAAAGTTTAGCAAGTCTCTACAAGCAAGAGAGCTTTTAACTTAATTGTAATAGCAAAGCAGTATTCAACCCCCTTCAGAAATCTGGATTAATTCACCAGTTTCCCCACAACCCAACCTGCGGCGTAAAAGTCTCTTTTTTAGTCTCTTCTTCTTTCTTTTATCTTCTCCTTAGGCCATGTTTGCCAGCTACGTCCCTGAAATCATAGAGTTAATAGGAAACCGAAAGAAATATGGTGGTTCCTATAGTGCGGTTAATGGGAGAAAGTAAGTATTCCAGATGGTTCTGCTGTTTTTTCTGTGTGCGGTAGAACCCTCTCTGCATGCCTTTTTCTTTTTTCTGTTCCATGCATGTAGGCCATGTTTGCTCGCTACGTGCCAGAAATTGCTGCTCTCATCCTTAATCGGAAGAAATACGGAGGGAGTTATAACTCAACACGAGGCAGAAAGTAAGTTGAAATCCAGACAAGGTGTGGTTGTGTGACTTAAGTGCACCCCCTCAAAGTTTATAGTTACAGGGGATTATATTTTTTTTGAACAACAGTAAAGTTAGTTTAAAACGTTAAGTCACACTGCGTGACTGGAGACCTTGGCCATTAGGACTCACATGTCCATGCCCCCTTATTCTGTCTCTTGTAATCTCTCTCTGTCTCCTTCTTTCTCTCTCTACCTTGCTCTATAACTCTTCCTCTATCTCTCCTTTACTCAGAGCTCTCCTGAATTCATTTGTGTGCTGTTCATTTTCTTTCGTTTTCCTCCTTGACACATCCTGTGTGGCGCTATCATTTAATTTGGAAAATAGAGCTTTCATGACTACTTTAGACCTTGAATATACTAACCTGTGGTTCTTCTATGTAATATATCGGCTCACTCTGTTGTTCATTAATGAAACAGTCTTGCCTATAGTGAATAATTAGTATACAATACATCAAATTGGAAAAAAATAGTCATGAAACCCCTACTATCCACTTCCAAAGGATATTTTTTAAGATTTAAGAAAATAGAAAAATGTAAACATCTGCAAGTGCATTATTATTGGTGGTCTTTTTAAGCATCATCAATCTCAATGGCCATTGCAGGATATTATGTATTCTCTTGTTTCATTTGGCTTGAGTTTGTTTTTACACTTTTTCCGTAAAATAATTTTCTTTATTTGCATCATTTCTGGCATGTTCTCTACGACCTGCAGTCATGTGGCTTTTTTCATTTCTGAAAACTCCATGAAAAAGCCTCTTCCTGTTGTCTGTCACCGCTATCCCATCGCATCATCAATGCTTGACATGACTCTGGCCCTGATCTTCAGTCAGCTCCCACACCCTGAATGCTGGAAGCCTCGCTCCCAGTGGAGGCTCTCAATTGCTTTTGGCTTGCTTTTCCTGCTTGGTTATTTGTGCTCGCCTGGTTCTCCTGTTTGTGTGGTGGTGGAGTTTGTCTCCAAAAGCTTTTGTAATTTATGTATATGTCTAATTGGCCTCTCACTGAAGAGGTTCGAGTGCATTGTGATATATGTTTGACACTGTGGTCATTGCACCAAAGGGCTTATTGTCCAGTACTGTTCTCCTCCCATTGTGGCTCAAACCTTACTAATTTCAGCAAACAGATATATTTCATCCAAAAGTGTCTAGAACAGGGAGGGTGGACTTCTTCTTTTTCCTTCTTCTCTTCTCATCTCATTTTCTTTTATGGCACTTTTCTTTCTTACTGTTTCTCTTCTTCAATCTTACTCTGATTGGTTCCAGTCACTCTATTCAGCGGGGCATATTCTAGCAAGTCAGCAGTTGGAAAAAAAGGCCTTTGTTCGTTAATGTTTGCCTGTCATTGAGATAAGATTGATGAAATGTTATGTTTGGCCAGTGACCTCAGCCCAGACTCACATATGGGTGTTGAGAGAAGCCCTTGTCAAAGCTGAGGATAGTTTCTCCCACACACTGTATTTTCTCTTTCCGCACCCCTTTCAAATTCTCTCTCAGCTTGGACATACAGTGCAAACATATGGTAACAATCAGAAGATACCCACCAAACACACAGGCTAAGAGTGCCACAAGGCTCTTTGCATAATCATTTAGATATGTATGCTTTCGGTGTTTACACGATAGGACCTGACAGATAGACAGAACTGCTTTGTCATGTGGCTTTAGGATTGCCATCGGGGTTCAGTTATTTAGCAGCTGTCAGCACAAAGAAAAAGTCTATCATGGAAATGAGATTAGGAGATTACAAGTATCCGACTGATTACAGAGCTCACAAACAATGAGGTCATTACACATTGCGAACTATTTTAAATGTAACCCTTATTTCATCTCACTGCCTGGCCGCTGTCATTTGAAACAGGCCTTTAAGGGTATTTGGAAGTGAGAGAGACTCACATTGGATCCATGCTAAATGTCTGTTTCTCGTAGTGTTGCTTATATAACTCTGTGCAGTGTAGCATACACCAGTGACAGCACTCAGCCTGCTTATGCTGATACAATAATGACAAGTGTTGCATACTGTTGGCGCCCACTGCAATCGGGACTCTGTGGTTTCCATTATGGCTCTATGGTTTCCATTAGCATCGACTTCAATAGAGGGGTTGCCATGGAAACTAGCTTCAACCCTGGCTGAACTCTGACATCTACTTTTGAATGTCCTCTGTAAGGGATAGCAACTTAAGGCTAGCAGGCCTAGAGACTCGAACACTATCCGGCTTGAACACACACTCGCTTAAGGCTGATATCTGCATACTATTACACTGTAAAGTCAGAGTGCATTTATATATATACCTGTACACTTCTTGAAGAGGAATAATTCTATACATTGAAACACTTTGACGATGTTTCTTTCAGTGTCTTTCATCACTTACCTAAGGATTAGAGCAGTACCACTTGAGTGACCTCTGTTGCTGATGTTTGAGCTCTCTGTTTGTTCGTTCTGTATTCAGTGTTTCCCCAATGACATCCTGGGATGTTACCCGACTGCATGTTTTATGTGCACGCTCTGAAAAGCCCTTTGTGTGTAAAACTGATGTTAAGTTTTTGGGTTGATGTGCTTGGTTTTCCTTGGTTTTGTTATTTAAAGTATGTCTATAGTTTAAAAAGACCAATACAATCAGTTGAACCAGATGGGAGGTATTTTTTAGGGGTGTCAGAAAATACCGATATAATTTAGTATTCCAATATTATATTTTTGCAAAGGAATTCATTATTGGTAGAAATGTATGGCAGACAGTTGTTCATTTTGTGTTGCGTTACACACATACAGTACATATACTTTAATAGGAGGTCGCAAAAGTAAACTTATTTTTCTCAGATTTTACGCATATGGTGGTGTGTCCCAAGAGTGCTTATAGTATCACAAAATATTGCATATATTGAATCATAATCCCCTGTGTTTATATATATATATATATATATATATATATATATATATATTGGACAGCTATAGCTTTGCCAATACAGCCCTAGTAGTTTGTTCATGAAGCAATTATTAATAGTTAAATCGTATTATATATCCTTTACTTATATCCTAATGAACTGTGATGTCATTGTCCTATTTTATGCAACTATTGGCTAGTTGAAAGAAGGAAACTTGGCAAACCTAAATTATGTCTTTCAAGTGCTGCATGATATCACAAGAATATTTTTTGTCTAAAACTACTGAGCCACAAATGTGTGGCTTGATCAGGGAAAGAAAAAAAGGATCAGAGAAAGAAACAATGGTAATTACACGAGGAAGAAAGTTTTGCTTTGCTGATAAACCACCAACTAAAACTAGTGTGTGTTAGTGTGTATGTGTTTGAAGTTCATCACTTAATGCTGAGCCCACACAAACCAAATAATACGCCACATAACTATGTGTATCCCCACTACCCTTGTGGTAGGGCATCTGGATGATGCGAGTAGGAAAACGTGACTGCGGTTTTTTCATTTTCCCGAAATGAGAAACATCTTGTGCCAAGTACTGTCGGCTGCCTATAGACATCTCAGCTCATCAGCTTGTGAGACCACACGGGCCTTTGCTCAACTCTGGCCAAGCGTGCAATCACGGCTGCTCATTAGATTCTCTTAAAGGACAGAGGCGACATCTGCGAAGACCATTATGTCCTGCAACATCCACAAGCTGCCATTCTCTCAATATGTCTGTCACTTTACTTTGCCAATTACACTTCAGTTAGGCCCTATTGGTCCATCTGGTACAGGATAGGGGAACACTGATCTGGACTGTGGTATCTCATACATATCTGTTTCCTTTAAACCTGCCAAACTAAGTCAGATTTAATAATGTTCTGCAACTTTACACGTAAACTTTTAAAGGCTAATGTGGTAGCCAGAGCCTCCTTCTTGTGTAGAATATAATCTACTCAGGGAGTATAATAATGGAATTGAAGGAGACAAATCCAGTTTGATCATACGAACTTGAACAGTGAACCAATATGACCACAGTGATTTTTATTTTAGGAAAGAGTAACCCAACACTCTTAGTGTTAAATGCAAAGCTGCCGGGCCTCCAGGCACTCAAAACTAAAGTGGTTCATTTGTCTCCTGGCACATCCTGTTAAGTAGTGGATAAGGCCATTATCATTACACAGATTGCCATACAGGTCTCCACAGGGTAATTAGGGTGTCTGCCGAGTGTCCACACTAATCCATGTCAATATAAGGCTTTGATTCTACTGAGCGTGTTTGGATTTCTCATTTAAAGGTTTTCCAATAAGATTGTGACATTTAGCATTAAATCCAAAAGGGTAGCTCAGTTTACCACAGGGAAAATGAAACTGTAAAGTGTTTTAAATCTACTGGCTTAGCAAGATTAAATACTGTTACTGTAGATTATAACAATAGTTCAAACCATTTTGAATTCCAATAACTTTTAAAAACTGTGCAACAATAATAATAATAATAATAATAATAAAGGAGTAAGATTACCAAAAGCCCTAAAAGGATTAAGAAGGAAAAAAATATATCAAGCAAAACTAATATCTTCATGAACAATGACTAATACATGATGTAGGAATACTACAACGTATTAGTTTTTTCTAGCACTCCAACACATTGTCCGTGATAGGATTAGGGGCGGGACTTCTTTAAGCTTTTCACACGACTGAGCCGACCAGCCAATAAATCAGAGCAAACTGAGTTCTCCTTTCAGACAGAAGGTGAAAAGAAAAATAAAGCACATTTTTAACATTAAAGCATGTCACAGTAGATGCACAAAATACAAATATGAACCTGAAATTTGCCATAATAGGGCCCCTTTAATACAGTTAGGAATTCAAAGTGAAGACTAAGATGGTGTCCATTCAAACTACCAAAATGAATCTCATATACTGTGATATAACTGTGGAGCTGACCTTTTAAAGTTGATCACTCTGGCCTACGGTGCAGTTAGAGGACACAAAGGGACACAACCTCAACTCCAAAATACTTCTAATCTAACTTCCTTACTGCTGGAATCAGCCATGTGCACCGTCTGACAGATCCCTCTGTAATGCGCCACAGTTTTGCCAGGGGACCCGTCAGAAACCCAGTGGTCCTGTTTAAAATGTGTGTCAACCACAGGCCTCCAAATCACTTTGAAAGTTCTAAGTAATGTTCTGAATAAAAGCAAAAACATATTGATGTACATGTCTTTGTCAACATTCATTCAGCTCACAAAGCGGTGGTTTGGCCTAAGGGGCAGTTTTTATATTGAGAACGGATGAGAAGCCAGCCACTGTGGGCTGTGTGATTATATCTTAGATTTTCTAAAGTGGCTCAGAGTTGAGTGTTTGATTGCACTTGTTGTGCAGAATATAACCACTTGCCTTACAAGAGGGAAAATATTCACTTTTATGGCAAAACATATATAATTCAGTTACTTGTTTGCTTTGAAATTACATTTCTTGACATGTATATAGACTTTTTCAGTCTATATTTGAGTAAGATGTTAGAGTGCTTTGATTTGACTGATGATCTTTGGGAGTCATGCCAGTGTCTGCAGTGATTTATGTTGCCCACTCAAGATGATTTCTTCCCCCCTTCCAGGCATATTGTGGTCTGTGGTCATATTACCCTCGAAAGTGTCTCCAACTTCCTCAAAGACTTCCTACACAAGGACAGGGATGATGTCAATGTTGAAATTGTTTTTCTCCATAAGTAAGTTCCTTATTGCTAACTGTGTAGATCAGTGGAACACAATGTCTGAAACAATGCACAGTATGTATTTAAGGTGCACTAATCCCTCTTCTCTATTCTCTGTGTGCTAGTATTTCCCCTAATCTTGAGCTGGAAGCCTTATTCAAACGACATTTTACGCAAGTAGAATTCTACCAAGGATCTGTTCTCAACCCTCACGACCTCGCCAGAGTGAAGGTACAATTGGTGACGGGGCTCTTGGAGAGTTGAAATCACAAACAATTATTGTCAAGGAGGTTCAGCTAAAGTGTAGACCACATTTAAATGATTAGGATCCAAATTCCATTAGTAATTTTGCGTTATTGTTTTAAAGTTTCAGTGGGTAAAGAGAGTGAAGGAAATCAGTGCATGATGGCATGGCAGGGTTTTCAAATGTGTATTTCTTAAATGAATAGAGTCAGAAGAGAATTTCATATTAGTATGAGGCCCTTTGATCAGTATTATGACTAAATAAAACTAACATATTACGTTAAGTATTGACTGTACTGTTGACATCTGTTTCTTTGGTTCTCCACACAAAGATCGAGTCAGCAGATGCCTGCTTAATCCTAGCCAATAAATACTGTGCAGATCCTGATGCTGAAGATGCCTCCAACATCATGAGGTATTGTTTCCTCTGAACTTGGAAATCAGTGGAAAATATGAAGATGGTTTTACATTTTGTCTGTTTTTCTTGCAGGGTTATTTCGATCAAGAACTACCATCCCAAGATCAGAATAATCACACAAATGCTACAGTATCACAATAAGGTAAGACGTTTTTTGACCCTGTGATGTATTCGGTTCCTTCGCCTCATCCGCAACATTTAGATAATCATTTGGTTAAATCATGTGACCACTCACTCAATTGCTCTCTAATCCCTGTACTAATCCCTGTGACTGTATGTCACTAGGACATATAAGATCGAAAACATTTCTATGGACTTTTTTGTTCCTAGTTTTTAAAACAACATATACATGAGTACATCATACATTGATAGAAAATTGTTTTTGAAATGTTTTTATTTAGAAATGTTGCCAACACAAAATACAGTGAACATGTACTCAGACGAATATTCAATTTGTATTATTAGATATATTTATAGATGATTAGCCGTTACCCCATGATTCCAGTCTTTTGCTAAGCTAAGCTAATCGGCTATTGGCTATAAGCAGTATATTTGCCATTTCAACATGAGAGTGGTCTGGATCTTTTAATTTAACGCTAACATTCAGCCAGGGAGCAATTCTTTTTTATAAAATATGAGTACTTTACTTGGTTTTCTGTGTCTCTCGTGTGATCAGGCCCATCTGCTTAACATTCCGAGCTGGAACTGGAGAGAGGGTGACGATGCGATCTGTCTGGCGGAGCTGAAGGCAGGCTTCATAGCCCAGAGCTGTCTGGCCCAGGGCCTGTCCACCATGCTCGCCAACCTCTTCTCTATGAGGTCCTTCATTGAGGTAACACAGAGGGCAAGATTAACTTGCCTTGTCTCAGTCACTTCTTCTGAACAGACCAAAGTAATATGGATGAATGAATTCTGACATTGGGTTTTTGTACATTAGATGATTTATTCAGGAATTGAAGGCAAGATTATAAGTGGATACTGTAGGTTATTTGCTGACAGATGGACTAGATCTATCAAACACAGATCATTCCCTAGACATTTTTTGACATCTTTGTCCAGAGACAAGACTTCCATTTGAGAGTTTTCAGTCGTTGTGGCACATCATATTTTACTGTGACATTTCATATGGAATCTGTTTAGGGTTTCTGTGGCTCAAAATTGAAGAGGTGCTTGTCTCTATCAAAGAACTGTTCTCTTGTCATAAAGATGATGGATCAGCTTATAATGACCTGGCTGATGTTGTGCGGTGGAACATGTGCAGACCATATTGGGCCGCTACTGGAAGAAAACTGTTGCTTTTTTTCCTCCTTTTTTGTATCTTCACATGTGACATTTCCATGCTTGTTTTTTTGTCAGATTGAGGAGGACACATGGCAGAAGTATTACCTAGAGGGGGTGGCTAATGAGATGTACACAGAGTATTTGTCCAGTGCATTTGTCGGCCTCACCTTCCCAACTATCTGTGAGTAAGTATCACTCTTTCCTCTCTCAGCAAGCCCACTGTCAGTGGTAGGTATTCAATTCAATTCAAAAACCTTTATTTATCCAGGTAAAATCCCATTGAGATCAATGATCTCTTTTTCAAGGGAAACCTGCAATTATAATATAATGTATAATTCTAAAGTGAAGAAAGACAGACAGGATGTGAATTTCGAAGGCGTTTGAACACATCAGTCTTTTACCTGTATACTGCTGTCCTCTACTGTAATTACTGCACTTGTTTTCCAGGCTGTGTTACGTGAAGCTGAAGCTGTTGCTTATTGCCATCGAATACAAGTCGGAGCAGAGAGAGAGCAGGTTTGTTTATTGCATCTTTCTTCCACTAACATCAGTTATAACTGTGGTAAAAGTGAGCTTGTGTGTGACTCACTTCAAGTGGATTTTCTTATACAATATCTTGTTATTTTCCTCAAATCTTCTGTTTGCCTTAAAAAACAGTTGATATTCATATTACATTTGATGACATGAAGTTGGTGAATGTCATTTGAATGATAGCATGCCAATATGAGCATCAGCACACGCAAAAACACAAAATAACATTTTCAAATCAGTCAGCGAGCACAAGGCACATACCTTTGTGCCGCAAGTCTGATGCCTTTACCCAACCTTGCAGGTATGGAAGAATACATCTAAAATAAACTTGGTTGATATGTAAACTTGGTTACAGAAGTAACCGCTCTGCAACAGCCTTTCTTTGTTTCATTTCGATTACATTGTGTTGTCAATTTAGAGATACATTTGCGCCAATTTTGCTGCACATTCTAATCTATTCTAATTTACTGTGTCCCTGTTAAGTCTGTATGATAACCACTAACTCTGCATCAGTGTCAGTGTTATCACCAACAATAACATGAAGTACTGTTGTTCAGTGATCTCTATTGCCAAATCTCACCCACCCTATCCCATTCGCCTTTGTCAAATGTTTTTTTCTGTGTATTGACAGGTTCCCATGGCAACAACATGGACATTTTGACATTCTAAGTTAAACACAAACTTTAGTAATTTTTAAATAATAGATATTCTAGTTGTGTGCATATTTGAACCTATTTGAGTGCTTTTTTGTCTGCGGCCTTAATTATTTTTAGCTAGTTAAGTTTAATAGTTTTTTTTTCTTCTTCTGATGACACCAAAATGTGTTATTTTACTACAACATATATTTTCTAGAAAATGTACAGCCACAAAGTTAGATGCCATTTGGTATTACTCACGCCCTTGTCAAAAAAGTATTGATCTATTTCGAACATGAAATAATTAAATTGTGTATCTGTACAGAGTTGTGCTCCATGCCGCTATATAAGGTGCACCTACTTAAAAGGAAGAGAAACTTTAAAGAAAGTAATTTCTCCTCTTCTTTTATGTTCATGATAACTGTTTGATTTGAGATGTTTCTTGTTGTTTGCAGAAGCCGAAAGCGGTATGCCCTCTACCTTATCTTACTTCCCAAAGTTCCACCCAATCTCCACCACTTTAAAGCTTCTGACTTTGGAAGTTTCCCCAAGGATATTTTTCCAAACACTATCTCACAGGCTTCTTTTCTTACTCTTTTTTATGGTGTCCTTTGTGCATAATGCACTAACTTCTTTGCAGGCAGAGAGAGGATAGATAAATTGGACATGTTTGTAGAAGTGCCGTTTCTTTGTCTTTGCTGTTGTCGCTGTACCAAGGCCAAACGCTCACCCTCTCCATATATACCTCTTATTTAATCTTTTCAGTTTTGTCCTTTTCCTAGTTTATTTCTCTCACTTTCAGTTCTTTTTCAATGTTGCTCAGTTTTTTCCCTACTGTATGTTTGCTTTGCCAATATATTTATTCCACTCATGGTGTTCTATAATCAGCACGTTATGGTTGTTAGACCTCAGACGTGGTGTCGATAATCACTGATAATCTTGTTTTCTACATTATGGATTTGATCTTTAAAACATTGGCTAATTATCAGCCATTGCTGCAGGCAGTGGCTGGTATTTATCATGTCTGTTTCTTCATGGTTTTAATACACCAGCAGCACCTTGCCTTGATGATTTCACACTCCAGGAAGATCATGGAGCTGTACAATTTAGATATCATTGAGTTTATCTAAGATGATATTTCATAATTTCAGGTTAACATTTTAAAAAGCGCTCCAGATTTTCACTTTTGCATTCCATCACCCTCTCATGTGTCAGTGCTACATGTATATCCATCTGTGCATGTCGGTATGTCTGGTTTGTGTGTGTGTGTGTGTGTCTGTGTGTGTGTGTGTGTGTGTGTGTGTGTGTGTGTGTGTGTGTGTGTGTGTGGTGTGTGTGTGTGTGTGTGTGTGTGTGTGTGTGTGTGTGTGTGTGTGTGTGTGTGTGTGTGTGTGTGTGTGTGTGTGTGTGTGTGTGTGTGTGTGTGTGTGTGTGTGTGTGTGTGTGTGTGTGTGTGTGTGTGTGTGTGCATTTCTGTGCGTCTCAGCCACTATGTACAGTCAAGTTGTGCGTCTCTCGAGTAGATGTTCTTAAGTGAGGTCACTTCCTGTCAGTTTGGTGTTTGAGAAACAATCCAACTGCACAGAAGTTACTGCAGCCGTCTGCATCTACGTACCTGTCCTTTTACCTGTAATTATTGTCTTCATGCTGTGTGGTAACTGCATGCTATGATGCTTGCTTTGTTGCTCACAATATGAGGTTTTGATGTGTTTTAGGCTTTTATTCACTAGTTTGCATCTGAATGTAGAAAAATGTCTTGGATAGATACTCCTGTACAATCTCAGATTTGGGCAGCAATGTTTGTGGAACTATCTTTATATGATCTGTTTCTTTACATTTATTTCCACTAAAAAGCATGCCAGGCCTGATGCCTGTTTACGTCTATGGGGGCCATTCAATCTGAGTGAATGTTGGATGCTATTTTACTTATTTGAAGGAAAGATGTGGAGGGACAAATCTGATCTGCATGCGATTTGGTCACAGCCTGATATGCGTATGGGTTCAATTGCTCCCTAAATATTTTATTTTTATTTTCTCCAATGCAGCCTTTTTCTAGAGCTCAGAGGAAAGATGTATTAAGAGATTATTTTTTTCCGATGCACTACACAGATAACATACCTATTCAAAATGATTTGCTATAATGTAACAAAATAGTTATTGCAAATAGAGAAAAAGGTTATAATCAAGTTGATAAGAAACACTTTAATCCAGCACTGACAAACATTTTGAGCAATAAGAAGTGTTATTTGCACAAATTGGAAATACGAGACCGTAAGAGTAGATGATAAAAAATAATCAATTGTTAATCATCTTTCATCTGGGCTTTTCGTATTTTGACTTCTGTCCCCTAACGGTTTGTGGGTTCAGTGTTATGATTTCTTAGTTCACACTCACATCATTGATGATTGTTGCCCACAGGTGACCATTAATGACCAAGGTGTGTGTGTGTGTGTGAGAGCATACAGTATGTGTGTGGTGTCTACTCTCTGTCTCAGTCTAATTAATGGGGAATGATACAGCCAGTCGTTTAAAGTGCTTCTATATATTTTTTTTTTGTCCAGCTGTTAGGCATGCCATTATATATGTTTTATTATATAAGGGCTTAAGATATAAATATGATACATATAATATTTAATTAGAAGTCATTAACTTCCTTTTTGAATTGCATTGTAATTATTTGCCCACTACATTACAATGGAGCAAATTCACTTCTTTTTGTAATGCGAGTTAATCTGCCTGAAGACTTTACAATCCTATATGGACTACAGCAGAGCTACTGGGTAGAATATGCTTAGCTTTGAAAGGAAAAAGAGCTGTTCATTCCCTTGCATCCCACTGTCAATTACTAACACGAAAACAACACGCAGCCATGTCTCAGTGGCCACCATAACATTTGTTTTCACTAAATGACTGTACTTCTAACAAATAACATGTAATGTATATATGAGTGTTGACACTAAATCCACTCCATAGACACAATTGTAATTCTTTCTCCCCTTGTGCCTTTACTCGTATCTCTCTGTCCCCCCTTCTTACCCCTGGGCATTTCAAAATAATTCAGTAAAGAAAATAATTAAAATTCAATGTGGTATCATACTGTTGTACATTCTGTCTATCCGTGTGAGTATCACATCATCAAATTGCCCAAAATCAGAGATGTGTTTTAATGGTATCACCAAATAAATTATGAAAGTTAAACCATGTGTTGAGAATGAAAAAAGGAAAAAGCAGGTCCGATTAGCGGCTTCAACAAAGGCTGTGTACCATTCCTCTTGATTAGCATGTTGGGTGCATGAGTTGCTTGTTTTCCAGAAGTTAATGAGCATGATGTGTCTTTTTCTCTGATTACCCAGCATCCTCATTAACCCGGGAAACAATGTGAAGATGCAGGAAGGAACTCTTGGGTTCTTTATTGCCAGTGATGCCAAAGAAGTGAAGAGGTAATTTGGATTGAAGCTGATCATTTATTATGTAAAAAGGACATGTTGATTATTCTAAGTGGTGAACATTTATACTGTGTCACTTTTAGGGCATTTTTCTACTGCAAAGCTTGTCATGACGACATCACAGACCCTAAGCGGATAAAGAAATGTGGCTGCAAACGATGTGAGTAGCTGCGCCTTCATTTTGTCCTTTTGACCGCCCTCTTTCCTTTCCTTTCACTCCAAAACCTCCCAGTGGGTCTGTCTGTGTCATTATGCTTAGGTTTTACCAGTCTGAACACTAATAATATACCTCTCATTTTGTTGTTGTTTCTTCTGTACTGTGGCACTGTTTTTAAAGGTTATGTATGTTGTCAAACCATTATACCCTTAGGAAAGTGTTTATTTATATGGGTCCCATTTTGAACTTCCATTACACTCATTACAGTAAGATCATCATTTCATATCCGATTTTTTTTCTTGTGAAATGCAGTTCTTGTCATCTTAGTGAGTGTTTTGTGTTTGGTTGAAATGGCTGAAAATGTATTTTAGTAAATTGAATACAAAAATTAGGAACAAACAGTAGATATACTTTCAATGGTATTAGTTGACAGAGAAAGAACAAGACATAAGAAAACATTAACGAACCCTTATCCATCTCCTGCATGAGAAAATAAAATGACCTATGCAGTATAAGCCTGTATACTGAACATTATACCATGCATAGCTTTTTTGTATGAGACAATAAGCTTTTCTCTGCAACCTTTAACGTTTTTTAAGGAAATGACCCACTGTATTATCATTTTCACACCCTCCTAATAAGAGCTTTTCAAAGTATTGAGCTTAGTCACAGTGTTCTTATTTAAGACTTCACAATACACAAATGTCCCTGTCAAATAGATATCCCCCCCCTTTATTTATGCAGACATAACATTACCATTAGGCAGGCGCAGAACATGAATATAACCTGACCTATGTACGGCAGTCACTTGTCAGGACATGTTAGCCACCGGATAAATAATTCAGGTGAATATCCCATATTTCCAGAAAAGGTTACAGACAATTAAAGTAAGCAGCCTTTCACAGACAAAGCTTGGTTTTAAAATAGATACCCACCATTTCCTTCTTTTGTCTGTGTCATTTCAATTATTAAGACAATCTCTTGCTTTCAAAGCTCAATAGAATCAACAGGTCTTTCACACTCCAGTTACATTCAGCTAAAACTGTTTACTTCTGTTTGCTTCCTTAATATATTCATGTCTCAGAGCCAGGTGATGGACATGGCATTATGTTTTAACCAATTAGTTTCTAACAGGAGAGTTGCATTTAGAAATACAACAGTTCCATTACCGCTATGGAAGTCTATCTTACAGTATATTCTGTTCTATCATGTTTTATCCTCTTGTGTTGTTTTCCCCATGTTTCTTTATGACCAGTGACACACTTTTGATGTATTTCCTTCCCTGCTGCCATTGGAAAACAACACTTTATTTTATCTACTCACTGGTAGTGATTTATTGTGAGTAAAAAGAAAATGGTTGTACTGTTACTTGCGTGCAGTGCAAGTGTTTTTTTTCCTCTTCAGCAAAAAGTATACTGTATCGATGTTGCATGTACCAGTGTAGCTTCTGCATCCCTCTCCTTGCCTCTCATTTCTACACTGTGCTCAGACCAGACCAAAACCAAAACAGCTGAAATCAAACTCAAACAAGCATCAGGCCTCCTCATCATAGGCCCAGTCATCTGATGCTTTTACTAGTTGGAAATGACAATTGAATAAAGTGTGACTTAATCGGATGTGGCCGATGAGCTCTGCCGTTTTTCCTAACTATTTGATCATCGACTTCTAACCACTATTTAGCATTTGGAAGCCAATCTGCTGCAAGTCTTATGTCATTACCCTTGATTAACCTCCTTATAGAGTCACGCTCCGACAAAGTACAGAAGGAACGTAATAAAAATCTGAGATGCCGTACAGTAATCACAGATTTAGAGGAGCTAACACAAGGGAAGAAAAAAAATACAAGAACCACTAAGGTTTCAATTGATCTGCTTTCTGTCAAAGGAGGTTTTGTGTGTGGCTGTGCTTTCAGAGAGGAGAAAATGTCCTTGTGGGAAGTTCTGCAAATCTTAATGAGCTAGGTTGCCAAAACACAATCAAAACAATCTGGTCTCCCTCCTCTGCTCTGTGATCTCAGCCGCTTTCTAAACTCTGGGTCCTCGCCCTACTCTTGTCGAGGTTTCAGAAATCATCAATTCCTCTCAGAATTGAAATGTCACCTCACCAGTGTTGTTCATTTCAAATCTGGACAGTTGTTAGGCTGTTACTTCAGTTTTTAAAACATATTTTCAAGATTCTATTCAACTCGTTGCACTGGATGAAGTCCACAAGCAATACAGTAGTAATTGTCATAGCATTAGGTTGCCACTAGATGGTGGTGCCATGCCAGCGTCATGTCCAATAATACAATATTTCAATTGTGATGTCTCTAGACAGAAAACCTAAACCCCCCTCGAAACCTGTTCAGCAAAAATGCAAGGATCAACTCAAATGTATTTCTGTGCATTTGCATCATATATTCAAACGTTGTCATCCGGAGATGGCTTCATCAATATTTTGTTTATATGATATAGTGTAGTTAAACATTTGTCTTCTGTTCCCTTTTCGTCTCCATAGGAAAAAGCTAATGTTTACTCTTCAGCTACTTTAACAATATCATTTATCCTTGCACTCTGGCTGAATATGGATTATTTTATGGGGATATATCAGGATGGTGCTTTCTTTGGGACATCCTTTGTATTCAACATATTGCCCTGATAGCTTCTGTTTTAATATTTTGTGCTTTGGTGGATAATAGGAGTTGGTTGACTGATCAAACCCATGCAGATAGTTTATCAGGGCAGCCGTCATGTTGAATCTTCCTTTAGGAATGCCCTGAAATGGACACCTTAGCATTCTAGGGCCAGAATCTAGGTATTTGTTAAGTCAGAAGTCAAAAACATTGTCGATGTGTGTGTCTTGTGTTGACCATTACAACCCTTCCACGTGTCAATATTGTACATTGTAAACATACATTACTGTACTGTGGTCTTTCTGCTTAAGCAACACCTCTGAAGTTAGGACATTTCAGCATGAAGTGATAGCCTCGCTGCACCTTTTCTGCCATACCTGCAAACTGTTTGGATACTGTGAACAGTTGTCTCTCTGCCTCCCCTTGTTGCTAAGAACAGAACTGTGTTTGCTGCATGCTTATTTCATGCTCATAAGGCAAATGTGCATGCCGCAGGATACAACAGCCCCTGATGCAGTCATCCCATGGGTTATGTTCTGCGTTTCCCATTCTCTCCTTGGCCAGAATCTGAAACCTATTACTTCATCCGAGATCTTATATTCTGATATGGCTCAGAGTCAAATATGCTGAAAGTGTCTCTGTAAAGGTACCAGACAGCATTAGTGTGCTGTCTGTTTGCACCTTGGTAATGAGAGAATGGGGACCAGGGACTGTTTCTGCCCAGAGTCACAGCAATCTAGATGTGCTACTCTGGGGGCTTTCACTCCTGCTTCCCTCGGGGCTCAGAGCTTCAAACACACACATTTACACACAGCGACACACGTATACAAACAACAAAGACAGGAAGTGGCCATTCTTTTGGCTACAGGTTAGCTAGTAGTTAAAACGTTTTTGTTTTTTTTGTGTTGTACTACTTTCACATACCCAAAGAGTGCATTTCTTGCATTTTTATTTTTTAAACAATACAATCATAGCGGCATTCATGTATATTCTTATGAATATACATTTACTAAAAACACTAGGAGCTGGTTTTCAGACACTTTACATATATGCAGCAAAGCAACACAAATATACCACTTTCTTAGCATAAATCCAATTCTGAAACGCAATAGTGAAACACATTTGTACCTTATTCATTTCCATTGATAGTCAATTTGGTACGAAAAAAGGAGAGACATAATTACCCCACTTATTTGCAAGTTATAAACCCTGAATTTACACAATTAAAAAATATATAGTGCAATACTTATAAACTAATATTTTTAAGAATGATGTTTTCTCTTTCAAAAGTTACATGAAGAATCACAGCAAAATTACAAACATCATTATTCTCTTTAGATTATTTTTGCACTCATACACATACAAGTGGAGCTGGCCTTGGGGAGTGGAGCAGTGAAGGCTTTGAATAAACAGTAGCATGAATTGGCTCATCTAGCCAGTAGAATAGTGCAATGCCTTGGACAGAGCCGCTCCAGCTGCATGCTGGGATACAGGTACGTGATCCACTCCTTTAGCCAAATGGATAGAGGATGTACAAATGTGTGAAACATTATATGAGTTTTGCTGCTGAAGACATTGCTCATGCCTCTCTTCCCTGAATGCCTCCCGCCCACTATCCTTTCTCCTCACCCCTCTTTCCCACTGTTATAGTTTTGCCTTTTGACCTGTTACAGCCTTAGCACACAGCTTGACCTCTGCAGACTAAGTCGAGAAATAATGAGCTGGCTTTTGACCATTTAATTACAAATATAGTGTCCAAATTGTATTTTTTCAGTCAAAAGAAAATGTTATTGGATGACTTGTTTAGTTAAAGTAATTGTTGTAATGTCAGCGCTTAAATGTTTAAGTTAAATGTGTGGCTTTAGTCTGTCAGAGCACGTGGCTAAGGCTTGCACTTTCTGATGAAGATACCTTCCGACTTCCCCTGGATGAATATTTCTCCTTTTGCCATTAACCTGCTGCTTTTCCTTTCCTCTCATCCCAAAACATGACTGTAGCCAGGATGTCCGTCTACAAAAGAATGAAACTGGCATGTTGTTTTGATTGCGGCCGTTCAGAGCAAGACTGCTCTTGCATGTCAGGCAGTGTACATAGTAACATGGACACCCTTCAGAGGGCCTACCCACTTTCCTCTGTCTCTGTTCATGATTGCGCAACCACTTTACGTGCCTGTAAGTTACACCGCCCAACACATGCTGTTACATGTCTGTGGTGTGTGCTCCATGTGTATTGTACCTCGCAGAGGTGCTGTACGTGTACCTGTGTGTCTGTGACGTCTACTATGTGTGTAATCCGTTAACCGTGACTCCATAGAATGTATTGATTTTTGTTTATGAACAGATTTTACTTAGCTGTTTTCCTTCTTTCAAATGCAATCTATCTATCTACCTAT